ATTATAAGTGTTATTGAGAGATCTGGGATCAACAATTGGTATCAGAGCCTATTGATTGAATATCCAATCAAACGATCATTTAAAACTTTCAATATTTTAATCTTCTCTCTCTTTAAAAATTTATTTTCTTCCCCAAATCTTTCAATGGCCAACTGGAATTCTGCTTACAACGTTGGTTCTCTCACAAAGCCGCTACTCTTCAACGTGAGGAGTATCCTCAATGGAAGATAAGAATGGTAAATTTTCTGGAGGGGATGGACAGRAATCTCCTGCGATCCATACAGGAGGGTCCTTACATCCCTCAAACTCTTGTTCCAAGAGTTCCATCAACAAGTACCACAGCTGAAATTCCAGCTTACTACATGATGAAAGAGGAAAGAAATTGGGACGACGATGATAAAAAAAGTCGAGACCGACAGAAAGGCCAAGAGACTKATAATAATGGCCCTGCCCAATGAAATCTTTCAATCCCTTGATACATGCTCCACTGCAAAAGAACAATGGGATGAATTGGCTAGTCAACTGGAAGGAGGAGCAAAGATAAAGAAAAATCGTAGAGCACAATGTCTCAACGATTACACCAATTTCAAAGCCCTCCCTGATGAACCCATACAAAAGACCTATGACTGTTTCAACACATTAGATAAATCAATGTCGTAGAAACGATATTATGAGAACCAAGGAAGAAAACAATGTTTTATTCCTGAAAAGTCTAGGCGATGAATGGACTCAGCTCTCTATGTCTCTACAAGCAAATAAGGACTTATATGGCTGGTCTCTTCATGATGTGTATGGAACTCTTGCAGCGCAAGAAAGCGATATTATGAAGAAGAAGAAGGTATCCATTGGAGGACCTCTTGCTCTTGCTGCCGATGAAGTTGAAAAATCAAGGACCCCTGCCAAAGAACACAAGAAGAAAGGCAAGAAAGTTTTGTTGGTCGAATCAGAATCTGAAGAGGAAACTTCTGATTCAGATGACGAGATTAAAGCGTTCGCCAAATCATTGGCCTTGATTACAAGACAATTTCAAAAGAAGTTCATCAGAAAACCCTTCGAGCAAAAAGAGTTCAGAAGGGAAAAGTTCCAGTATTCCTATGATAGAAAGCCATCTAAATTCTATCAGAGGAACGAAAGAAGAGGTGAAAGAGAAGAAAGGAACGATAGAAGAGAAGAGAAAAGAGAAGAGAAGAATGAAGAGAGGAAAGAAGAGAGGACAAGGAAGGAAGGAAAAATGACCTTCGATGCTTCAGATGCGGAAAGCTTGGTCATTTTTCCAAGGAATGCAAAGGACGCTTGATCCAGGACGCTAATTACTACATGAACAAATACAGGTATAACTCACAAGAGCGAAGCTTGATGGCCGAAAAAGAAAACTGGGTGTCTGATTCTTCATCAGATGATGAAGATAAGGCACTCATTTGTTTGATGGCCACGTCCAATGCAAAATCCTCCTCCAACTCTGACGATCAGGTATGTGAGTCTTACCCACATGAAACGAACTATGTTCCATCAGAACTA